TAGTGAATCTAACAAAGTATTTATTCTGAGTCCTAATAGGTTAATTGCTCTCATCCAATTCATTTAGAATTTCGGGATTGCCTAGTTGATCATTTGTCAGAACTCTTCTATTAAAAAGAAGCTCTATTCTTCCATCCCTAAAACCTGAGCCTGCTTGTGTTCTATCGTTCATTACTATCATTTATTGCTTCTTTGTTTTATTTTCAATAAATATTCCTGTATTGATAGGATAAAAATTAGCTGGAGCTGTTGATTTAAGATCTGATTCCTCGAGAGCTTTTCTTTTGATTCTCTTAACATACTCTAATCCATTTGAATCAGTGTAAAATACTCCATTATTTTGAATTTCATCTGAAGACCAATTCACAGTCGCTTCAACATTTCTATCTAGACCACCTCTTTTTATGTCAAATTCTATATCTCCACATCCTTTATCATTTCTAGTCAAGTAGACTGTGACAATGGAGATAGTGTTTCTATCAGCTGCCCTATAAGTAAATTATACACCAGTCTAAAAATTGCCCTATAATATTTCAGTGGATAATAGCTCTTCACTGAAATAAGAAGAATCAGATTAGTTAGTCTTAAAAACATAGATTCCACCATTGTCTTTGTTGCCATTATAAGAAGGATTGAACCTGAATTCAAATCTAAATTAAACAGTAGTATCAGTCACCTAATCAGTCAAGATAAAGTTTATCGCCTTTGAATCAGCATTTTTTATTTAAAGTTAGCATAACTCATTGAATCCGATCGTCTAATAGCTTTGTTCTTAAGATTGAATTTATTACACTTGTTCTTCTTTTTCTTGCTCTTCAAATTAAAGAGGATTTTCCGATGCTTCTTAAATTAGAGTTTCATCTTCATATATTTACTATGAGTTTTATAGATGTTATTGGTCCACATCTTATATTTCCTGATTCTTCGTTAAATTCTAATTAATTGCAAGTTCTCCTTGAGTAACCTCTAAAATTTGATGAGAAAATGGATTTATCTCCATATTCACAGAAAGATCAGCATAAACTTCTTAATAAAAGTTTTTATTGCTTAAAAGATCATATTAGACTTCTGTAAACTACTAAATTTCCCAATTCCATACTCTTATTTTGTAATTTAGATTTGGATTAATTACTCTTAATCTTGGAACAATTTGGCCAAAAGCACTAGGGTTGTGAAGTAAAATGTAAGTTATATTTTCTAGGCTAAATGACAACGGAATTTAATTCTCATTATTTAAATTGTACT